CTAAGCAGACGATGTTAAGACGGTACCACATACCTCTCATGACTAATTTCTCACACACCTGTGTCGCTGCAGGGGCGCGGAGGTAGGGAGGGATGGAGGGAGCGAGAGCGCGTGAGTTAGTGACGGAGAGAGAGAGAGTCAGAGAGAGACAGGCACACAGAGAGAGAGAGACACACACACACAAACGGAGAGAGACAGAGAGACAGACGCGCTGCTACTACGACTACTGCTACTGCTACTGCTGATGCTGCTACTGCTACTACTAGCGCATTCCTACCAACATCTGCGCATGTGACGTGACGTCACTGGTCGCCTGGTGATAGATACCACGTCGTGGGGCGCTGTAACGGGGAGAGGTTAGGATCCGTGTGCGAGGCGAGGCGACGCGAGACATCTACCTCTCTCGCTCTCTCTCTCTTTCTCTCTCTCTCTCTCTCGCTCTCTATCGCTCTCTCTCTCTCTCTCTGTCTCGCTCTCTCTCTCTTTTTCTCTCTCTCTTTCTCTGGTCCCTAGAGACGTCCCAGGCCTCCCCCTTCACACACGCGGCGTAGTGGCAGTGTATCTACGTCCTGTAGAGACGGTCCAGGCCTCCCACTTCACACACGCGAGATAGTGGCAGTGAATCTGCCTCATGTAGAGACGGTCCAGGCCTCCCCTTCACATACGCAAGGTAGTGGCAGTGTATCTACGTCCCTTTGAGACGGTCCAGGCCTCCCCTTCACACACGGGGGTAGTGGTAGTGTATCTACGTTCCGTAGAGACGGCCCAGGCCTCCCCTTCACACACGCGGGGTAGTGGCAGTGTATCAACGTCCCCTAGAGACGGTCCAGGCCTCCCCTTCACACACGCGGGGTAGTGGCAGTGTATCTACGTCCCCTAGAGACGGTCCAGGCCTCCCACTTCACACACGCGGGGTAGTAGCAGTGGATCTACGTCCCCTAGAGACGGTCCAGGCCTCCCACTTCACACACGCGGGGTAGTAGCAGTGGATCTACGTCCCCTAGAGACGGTCCATGCCTCCGCTTCACACACGCGGGGTAGTGGCAGTGTATCTACGTCCCCTAGAGACGGTCCAGGCCTCCCCTTTACACACGCGGGGAGGTGGCAGTGGATCTATGTCCTGTGGAGACGGTCCAGGCCTCCCACTTCACACACGCGGGGTAGGGGCAGTGTATCTACATCCCATAGAGACGGTCCAGGCCTTCCCTTCACACACGCGGGGTAGTGGCAGTAGATCTATGTCCTGTAGAGACGGTCCAGGCCTCCCACTTCACACACGCGGGGTAGTGGCAGTGTATCTACGTCCCCTAGAGACGGTCCAGGCCTCCCCTTCACACACGCGGGGTAGTGGCAGTGTATCTACGTCCCCTAGAGACGGTCCAGGCCTCCCCTTTACACACGCGGGGTAGTGGCAGTGTATCTACGTCCCATGGAAACGGTCCAGGCCTCCCACTTTACACACGCGGGGTAGTGGCAGTGTATCTACATTCCATAGAGACGGTCCAGCCTTCGCTTCACACACGCGGGGTAGTGGCAGTAGATCTATGTCCTGTAGAGACGGTCCAGACCTCCCACTTCACACACACGAAGTATTGGCAGTGTATCTACGTCCCCTAGAGACGGTCCAGGCCTCCCCTTCACACACGCGGGGTAGTGGCAGTGTATCCATGTCCCATAGAAACGGTCCAGGCCTCCCACTTTACACACGCGGGGTAGTGGCAGTGTATCTACATCCCATAGAGACGGTCCAGCCTTCGCTTCACACAC